GAGTCCTTCGAGGTCAGCATCGATGGGATTGCAGTCTTTAGCAGCTCCTTTTGCCCCGCGCTTTTGCAGAGGCTGATTTGTCCGACAGGGCTGCAAGCCAATTGCCGCCCAGTCGGAAGGATCCCTGCCAGGTAGACGCCTACTGGCGGATCTCGCTGGGAAGGGATCCTGCAGGTGTCTCGCTTCCTTGCCTGGACAAAGCTTCTGCATTCCTGCAGTCCCATTTCCCCCTCTCCAGGGTTGAAATCTGACCCATCCATGCAAACCAGGGCCCTATTTCGGGGTCCTTTGGCTTAGCCCTGATTACAGGTCGGGTTAAATGTCTATGCAAAAATAAGAAACTTGTTCATGTGACCGGTTTTTCCCCTCATTTGGAAAGAATGATCTTCACCTGCAATGTAGTTTTATTTTTTTTAAAAAAAACCTTGTTTTTGTAGCGAAAATTTCCCCTTTCCCCTCAGTAATGTCCGGGTCGTTTTGTTTCAGCATTATTCCTTTCCTCGGTGGGTAGAAGGGCGTCCCTTCCGTGCATTGAATGAAAAAGGCGATGGCCGGATTATTAAAAATTATAATTTGAAGACTGACAACCAGCGAGGCGCCACCTTGGGGAAGGTTGAGGTTATTTAGCACTGTTTCTGTTTCTGTTTCTGGAGGACTCAATTAAAAATAAATTTCCCTTAAAAAATATTTCTGGGCAGGTAAGCCTGCTAACCAATACTTCCTATTGAACTATCTGTATGTAGAGCTGAAGGGAGATGGAAACGGGATCCTCACGCCCATTTCTACTTCCCTACGTAAATTTACGCATAGGTAGCCTGTGGTTTAAAAGGGGGATCAGAGAGAAGCTGAGGGTGTTGTGTGGCAGAGGAAGGGAAGGAGAGAGAGAAACAGATACAACATTTCCATTGTAGGTGTTTCACCACACTCCTTGGGCATTGCAGGGTGTCAAATCCTCTGGGTTGTGAAGCTCAGGAGGATTGGATTTATGCTTTTTTGTTGTCTGATAATCATAGGTATCTTCATATGAATAAAATGAATTATTATGAGATTTGAGAAGCTGATGTTCTAAATAGACTTTTAGGATGTCTTGTGTTTACTATGCTGTCCCCTGATGAATGGGACACCAGCTTTGCCAACTCTAATTTTAATACTAACTTTTAATAGTCCTTGTTTTAAATGTTTTTAAAAAAACATTTGGGTGGTTTTAAATTGCTATTTTATGATGTTGGAAGCTGCTCAGAGTGGCTTGATAGGGAGATGGGTGGCATATAATAAATGTAATAAAAATATTGAGTGATCCCTCTTTTGAATTAGTGGAAGGGTTTGCCTCCAGAAACTGGGTGCTCCATCACTGGAAGTTTTGTTTTTTTAAAAAAATAAGAGATTGGACAGCCATTTGTCTGGAATAATATAGGATCTCCTTCTTGAGTGGGGGGAGGGATGAGATTAGAACTCCAAAATCCCTTCCAACTCTGTTGTTCTGTATTCTGATTAGAAAGAAAAAAAATGGCATAACCAGGAAAAGCAGCTGGCTGACCAGGTTCTGAATTGGGTCACTCCCAGGAATCTGTGACCCTGGTTTAAACAATTTCCCTAATAGCTCCCAAGAGACTCTTCCTTATTGCTGTTTTTTTTTTTTTTTACCTCAGCACAATTACCTCAGCAATGTGGTGAGCTTGCTCTCTGAGTCCCACACAGAGAGAATAGTAATATTGAAGAAGGAAGGCAGTAGTTAGAGAGCTTTCTTTTCATGCTTGAGCAGCCAGCTGGTCCTTTTGCATATAGGTAGTCCTCATTTAATGACCACAATTGAGACCAGCAACTCATTTTTTAAGTGAAGTGATTGTGAAGTGAAACTGCAACTTTGTATTTATGATCTTACTTCAGCTTTCCTTTTGCTCTACAGACCTGTGAAGGTTGTAAACATGTGGATTAATTGCAAAGTTAGTTTTTTTAATCTGCTAATGGTCACTCCATTAGGCAGTTGCTTAATGAGGACTTCTTTTATTAGACATAGAGTGGGAAATGGCAAGAGCCATATATTAATATGGAAGCCCAACATCCCACTTTTTCCCTGGGCAAGTGTTTCTCCCATCTCTTTTTGAGGCTCTGGCTTTCAGTGTGAAAAAAATAAAAGGCAGCACAGCCACCAAGTAATTCAGGAAGAACCAAATGGTGGAAGGAAGCCAAGCTGAATCTGTTTCCTTTTCTGGGAAGAAATAGCCTCCTTCAGTATTTCCACATTAGGACAGATAATAAGATAACCTGAAAGGTTGGTTCAGGTTACCTGTAACATTCATTTTTATAGAAATGTCTTGGGAATGATTCTGGTGAATATGGCACAGCATTAAAATAGAGCAACACAACAGACCCTGAACAGTATACGGAGCAAAATAATGGCTTCTTTTTAGTGCCAAACCATCGGAACAATAACTCATAGGAAAGATGTCCTTGACATTTTAAGCATGTTCTAGTGATAAGCTTTTTCTTTTTGGCTCCAGGGTTATATCCTTCCAGTCCATCTTTTATTACTCTTTTTCTCATAGGAATTTCATGACCCCCTTGTGGAGTTTAGCCTCCCAGCAATTTTAAGAACCTCCATCTTTTTACAGGTCAAAAATAGTTTTCACCCTTTTATAATTCAAAAATAGAATCTAAGTCAGAAACTTGGAGAATTCCAAAAGTTTAGAGACCTTTTTTAAATCTAAAGGAAATGAATTATAAAACTCCCAAAACAAAAACATTTGGAAACAGTCTTTTTATCTCTTGATATGTGTTGATAAAGAACATTAAGGCGGTGTTACTTAACTATCAATTTCAATATGTGGGGATTTCAACTGGATTTCAACTTAAAAGTCCACACAACTTAAAAGCTGAAGTTGAGAAACACTTGAGTATTAGATCCTCTGGGACTGGTTCCAGATTTGAGGGCCTTGAAAATGAATTGGAAGAATTTCCCTTGTATATCTGGCACTAAACAACCTAGGATTAAACAGTCAGATAAGTTTGTTTTGTGATAGCTGGAGGGCTGTTAGATTTAAAATGGCAGCTAACAACTATTCAAAGGGCCTGGGTTGTTGTTTTTTTTAATTGGGCCTACCACTCAGGCAACTGCATTAAACCTTGAGATCTCAGCACCAGTATGGATATATTATGACACTGTTTTGAGAAACAGCATGTCACTAGATAAAATAAAGGTCTTATGCTTAAATTCCTAATGTGAACAATTTTTAAGTGTTGGGAGTACCTTCAGGCAGAAGACTGAATAATTTGAAAAGCTTTCTCTACCTGATCATGATAGAGCATCTTTGGTTTGAAAAGAAAAGAGTGTATTTTGTAAATAACTCCACGCTTTATCAGAGACATTTGGATCTACAGTATATCTGTTGTCAGTGATGCTCTCTGTGCAGTCTTGCACAAATGTTTATATATAGATAATTTGTTTATAATAACCATAAATGAAATACTTTATGTATTTGGAATGTCCTCATATTTTTTCCATTGGCTTCTAGTTTCTAAAACAGCAAGAAAAAATCATTTTGTACAAAGTACAAACTTCTAAGTTTTCATATTATTTTCAATTTTTATTTGTAGTACTTTAACTTTGTAAGTTAATTCTTTCACTGTAATGTGATAAATAGAAAATATTAAAAATTAACTGTTCTTTGTATCTGACATAAAATGTCATTAGATCAATTAAATTGAAATTTAATTAAACTTAGGTAGAAGAGTTAAGATGCTGGCCTAGAAACCAGAAGATGGTAAGTTCTGGGGCTCCCTTAGGCATGAAACCATTGAGTGACTGGGCAAGTTACTTTCTCTCAGCTAAGCTCATTTCACAAGGTGGTTGTGAAAATAAGAGGCAGGAGTATTTGATATGTTTGATGCCTCGAAATGACTCTTAAAAAAAAGAATCAAACTCTTAATACTGTAATAAAATGAATGTAAGGTCATTTTTGATTAAAATAAAAGTAATTAGAGACATGAATGACAGCATTTTGATTTGAATTTGATACCAATCCATTCCTAATCATATGTATTAGGTATGGTTTATTGATTAGGATAAAAAGCCTAACTTTATATAGAGAATTTCTTGATTATTTCTACAATAGTATTACATTTATAGTACTAAACTATTGTTATTAAAAGCATATAGTTTACTTGAATGTAAAGCTGATGATTCAGAAACTAGTCCAATAGTATAAATTTTGACAATTTTAAAAATGTTATTTTATATTAATATAATTATTTCTTAATAGCAAATCTTAATAAATCCAAATATTAATAAGATTTTTAATAATCTTAAGATGTGGATCTTAAACATAATTGATTAAAAGAAATTAAAAGTCCATTATTATGCACATTGTTAATATACATTACATTTTACTATGTTATTTATGTTTTTACCTAGTATCAAAAGGAAAGTACTATAAACCTAGGAGTGAATGAGGTTCCAGTTCAGAATAGCCATTCAACAACCACTTGACTTCAAGTCTGCCAAGTGTTGTATCAAGCACTAATTAATCTGGAAAGGAGTAAGAAAGAAGCTAGGGCTTAAACCCCTGAAGGTGTAATTGTCATTTTATCTGGCTGTGAATGATTACTGTTGTATATGATTTACATACATTCTAGTCTACAATACTGACTAATTTAACCAAACCAAGCAGATAATTGACTGCCTAGTTAAGCTGAATAATGAAGTGAAGCTGTGAAGTAGCAAGAGACCTGGGGTTTATTGATGCATTCTGATTGGTAGTTGCACCTCTCTAGTGAGGGCATTCAGAAGTAGGGCAGCTATCATTATTGAAGAGGCCTGATCTCAGATAACCACTCAGTGTAGTTCAGCACAGAAAGGCACCCAAAACAGGCCTTTAAAAGATGACATTAAATTCTGGTAGGAAAATACAGATTTCTTTAGGATGCTAATGCACTAATTTCTTGTGTCAGTTTTTAACATTACAGAACAGAGAACTTCCACATTTTATTTTTGACAAATCATCATGGAAGACTCTAGTTTAAAAACAGTTTTACCTACACCAGAAGAAACAGAAGAACCATATTCAAAGAAATTTAAAATTGATAGCAATCAAGTGATCTTTGAGAGGGGGCAACAGCAGTTATTTGAAATATGCAATGAAGATAACAAATCAGCAAATAAGTTTCTGTGTTTTCCTAAAACATGGAATTTTAGTCAACATAATTTGGAGTTACGAGAGAAAAGCAGTACAATTTTAAAAAACAGTGTAAGACAACATGCAAATTTCAAGATGTTTATGAATGCCAAATTACAATCCAGATTGTTAGAAAATATTCCGTACATTGGAAAATGGCCTTCTAATAGTTGTACTACTCTTAGGAATGGTAGTTGCAAGTTAAAGAAAAATAATTCAGATTTCATACAACTTGAATCTTTGGTCTCATATGCAAAAGAAAGTGAAACGGCAACAAAGACAAATATGTCAAAGACAAATGAATGGCCAACAAGAGGTATAATTTTTTATATTATCTTGGCAGAAAAGTTTATTGCAAGAATAGAATCTTTATTTGGAGATGTGCCAGAATTTCAAAATAAAGAAAAGAACCCAGGTTGTTGTCATGCGTATAAAATGTTACAGTCAGAAGAACAACATCTTATTTCAAAACCAGTTAGAAGTTATGAAAATAGTGATAAAGAAGTCTTAAAGTTCTGTTTTCCATTTAAATATTTTATGAATGGAAAAAAGTCAGACTTTGAATCTTTGAACTATGAGTATAAAAATATTTTACATAAGAACAATGATATTTTATCCTACAAAAAGCAAAGAAGATTTTATAGAAGGAAGAATTTCAGAAGAAACAAAATATTTCGGCACACATATACACTTTATTCAAAAAAATGTGGAATAAATCTTAAATTAACAAAAGGTATTGCTTTTGAACTGTTTTTACAAAGTAAAGGAACATATCATTACAGTACTGTAACAGAAAATGCTATTTCAGTATTCAACCACATAAGTCAAATTAATCACCAACAAACAGAAAAATCTAATGAAGATACAAAAGAATGGCTCTTATGTCCTACAGATATTAGGGAAGATGATATATTTTCAATGCTTTGCTGTGGAAAAAAACAAACAACAAGCCAAATAATACTTTCTAATAATCAAAATATCCAAAGTAAACATTTCAATATTATTTTACGGGAAAGAAGCTTGTATATTCCTGAAACAATCTACAATTTGGCAGATAGTTTTAGATTATTAAATTATCTGATTTTAATTCCAATCATGCTTAAAAAGTCAAAAGCTAAAGATTTTAAACTTGATATAGTTACCGTAGAACCATTTATGCAAAAGAAAAATAGAAAAACGTGCAATCAAACCAGTAACTTTTCTTCTAAAAAATTTAAACATTTTCATTTTGTTTTAAGAGCACATAACAAATGGGAAAAGAGAATATTTAGAAATAGTATTAATTATACAAATAATAACAAATATGTCCCAAAACATATAGTAACAGGTAGTAAAGAAAGAATGAACAAAACACAATATAATAATCATAAACATAACCAAAATAATCCATGTGATTTTGTTGATAGAAAATCTCATCTTGATACATATAAAAAAATTTCCCTCAGTTCTTATTCAGACGAAATAGAACACATTTCAGTCCTGGGTAATATAATAATTACTGATGAAAAATATAGCAAACAATGCATAACTGCTGATAAAAGATTCACTAGCAATCATTCTGAAACATTAACTTATATTTGTGCGCCACTCAAGTTATTTGCAAATGATTATCTTTTAAAACAAGAAATCAAAAGTAAGACGTCTCAGTATTTCAAAGACAGGCATTGGCTAAAACACAAAATTAATGGTAAATTTTTCCCAATTTCCAAAAGACTTTTTAAACATTCCTTACATGTTAGTCAACATTTTACTCCCAACATGTTTCATAACCTTTTTCTAACCCAAAATATAGCAATCGGTGTAGAAACAAAGTGGAGTAAAACTTCCCTATATGGAAAAAAAGCAAAGCCAAGGTGCTTTGAATTTGAAAAACTTAAGAGTGTTTTACAATACCAATATCAAACTACATGGATATCAAATGTTTTTAAGGCACCCAAAGCTAAAGTAATAGAAAATATGAACTTTTGGGGTAGTAACAATATTTTGTTCAGTGGCACAATTAAGTCAGAAATACTATGTATAAACCAAACTGCTGAGGATGTAAATAAGACAAAATGTACCATTGCTGGGAAGAACTATGTAAACAAAAGAAACCAATCTCAGAATTTATGTGAGCTACATTTCAAAGACGAATGTGCAAAGTCTGTTAATTCTGTGGACAAATTAACAGCCTCATGTTCTACAAAACAAAAAGGTGAAGATTCAAGAGAAGAGCATTTTTCTTCAGAAACTAACAGAAGAGATCAATTTGAGTTAGTACTGGAAGAGCTTCGTATGTTCAATGAAATTAGTAAGGCAAATGAAAATAGCCTGTCACAAACAGAAATAAATATCCTTGAGAAAGAATCTCATGTACTAAATTGTTCTGACAACATACCAGATCAAGTTAACAGAAATATCAATCCAGTCATTTCCACAACTGATATTACTATGAGTTGCACATCTGGGGTAAAGCAAAACAGCTATACAAAAAGTTCATTTCACCAGAACATACAATTTGGAGAGCAAGAGATACCCCACAACTACAGTTCAAATCTGTCAGATGAAGAATTGTTCTGTTCATCTTCTGAAAGTAAGTAAATGAGTTTAAAAATATGTGAGTCAGATTATTTTATGTAATAGTACTAGGTTTGCACTATAAAAAAGATGCACAGATCTCTTTCAAATCTAAATATTTGTTAAAATATATTTGTGAAGATGTTGGTAGCAGTAGCTTTAATTTTGGATTGACATTGGGTGCTACTCTTGATTAAGTAACAGAAACATTGGAACATTAAATGATGATAGTAACATTTTCCACAAAGCAACACTATACTGGAAGTATTGTAAGTATTAAATTGCAACTGCGTTTAGCTGCCTGGTGCTGTTCAGATCACATTGGCAGAAAAAGAAAGAAAAGGGGATCCAGTGCAAACCATCAGTATAAGTCATGCTTGGCACATTAATTTGTAGTAGACAATCAGGTTTGGTAAGAGCTAATATATCAATACTATAGTGGAAAAGATGTAATAAAGCATTAGGGTGTTTTTTTAAATGTAGTTGCTATATTTTAGATCAAATATATCAAATATATAAATATATCAAATATATCAAGTATATAATATGAAGTTTTATATATTATCTCAAGCTAGGAATATTTTACCACATAGTTGCTACATTGTGTAGACCTAATGTGTAGTATATAGTAAAGTTCAAATTGATCTATTAATAACTATAATGCTTATTGTGAATTTGTTTTTCAAATTTAAGAACGTGCTCATTGTAAACAATCTTTCTCTTGGAACCCTGCATTCGTATCTCAAACATTCACAAAAGAAGGAAGCTATAATTTAACAACAGAAAGAGGTAAATTATGCCTTATAATAATTTAGCATTTTCACTTTTATATATTTATATTTTAGTTTAATTTATGCAGTAAAATTTTTTTAATTTATATGAGTTTGTGGCTGATTTGTTGGATTCCAAGGTGAGCTTTGAGTTCAAACACTTTAATGTGAATACCATTTTAACTCAAACAACATTTTACTAAAACTAAAAAAAAATCAGTGTGTAAAAGATGATAAAATCATTCTTGAATCAAGTTCAAATTGAGACACTTCATATACTGTCCTATCTAGTTATCTTGTTTAAAACACATGAATGGTTTGCTGTAACCTGCTTTTGGGATTGTAGGAGAAGAGCCATGTTAATCTATGGCAGCAAAAATTTAGGGATTTTGGTAGATTAATTAATTCTATTAAAAGATACACACTTTTGTGAGTCAAGCTCACTTCATCAGATACATAGAATGGCTGCACTGATATATAGTTTAAACTGTTATGTAAGTTTTACAATGATATCAAAGGATATGTTGTATAGATAAGTCTAGGCTGTAGTTGTCGGGGGTAGAAGATGTTGAACTCATGATGGCATTTGAAAAGGGATTAATTTTGATACATCCAGATTATGAAAATGCAATCAATAAATCACAAGTCAAGGAGAGGCTTTGGGAGATAAGAATTAAGAAAGCATTGTTCTAGGTCATTCATAAAGATGTTGGTATACCCAAGGCTTTGCCACTAATTTGCAGGTCCATATTGTTGCAAAGATAAGTACAAAGTTATAGTCTGGTGACAAAGTGTGCCATTTGGATTAGTATTTATGTTCTTGTTTACTTGGCATACTTTACATAACATACTGTTTTGGGGGGGATGTTGATACAGGCCTTCACTCCATGATAGTTGAAATGTTCTTGCTAGGGAAATTACCTATGGAATTCAATTTTTAATGTGTTTATTGTTTTATCATGGAAAATACAATATAAAACAGTAAAACTATAACAAACAAAATGAAACAAAAAAGAAACATACATTCAACCCTAAAAGCAAATAGTGTTCAATTAAATTTAACATTTAACATGTAGGAGACACCCTGGCTGGATGCTGAAATAAAAGAAAAAGCAATAAATTCTCCTCTTCATGGAGTTCAATTTTCTTAGGAAGTCTGAGATCTTTTATGTAACTGGGATGACAGATTATATTGTCTATAATCCTGAGGTTTTCTGTGATTTCTCATCCAGCCCACTAACAGAACTAAAATTGTTTAGATTTTTTCTTCTTCAGTTTAGTCAAAATAGCTAGGTGGTGTCATGTTCTGTGAATCAGATGAAAAATAAGATTACAAAAATGAGGTCGGAGGAAAACTGAAATTAATGTAATTGTCTACCCAAAGCATAATTTTGATAGCTAAATTTTATTACAAATTCTTATGTGTTCTAGAATTGTGTCTTTGCTCCTCAAGTTCGTGCTGATGTAATAAGTAGAATTGAGTTGTAACCAACAGCTTCCATCTCTTACTAGAACTCTTTCTCTATGCATCCATATAAAATATCTATATATGAGATTTTTTTTAAAGGAAGATAAAAACTAATACAAGTATTATAAAGTGAGAAAAAGAAAAGAAATCAATCTGCAAGAAAAGATAAAAATTAAAAGAAAACTTTAAAAAGTAAGAAAAAAGATACGAAGAAGTAGGTTTACAGTAATTATTACAATTACAAATTTATCTCTTCCTCTATAGTTACAACTCTACTTTCTATAATCTATCCTGTCTAATCATAAAACCATAAATAATAAATTCATATTTTCCATTTTACACAAATAGTCCATAAGGGGTTTCCAGTTAGCATTAAACATACTAGATACTATCTTTTCTCTAATCCATGAAATTGATTTAGCCATCTCAGCAAGTTCCATCATCTTCACCAATCATTCCTCCTCCAAATCTTTCAATCTTTGTGCATCTTTATGCATCTTGTTGCAGTTATCATATACAGAAACAAAGTACCATGAGTTTTCCCCCCAACCAATCATCAATCCCCCCCCCCCCCACACACACACAAAAAAACCTCTGGTCTCAATTGCATATTAATCTTTTAAATCCTCCAAATCAGTATGTATTTGAACCCAAAAATTTCCAGCTTTTTTACAAATCCATCAAACATGTTATAATTGAATCCAAAATTTTCTAGCTTTTTACACATCAATTAAACATGATATTCCTGTCTTCCTGTTCACATTCCCAAGATATGTTTGAAATGTCTTTATACATTCTAAATAAGTTTTCTGATGTTATATACCAAAGGTGCATCATTTTATAAAAAGTTCTCTTGAAGATAATGAAGTAGTATAAATTTCAATACTTTCAACCACATATTTTTCCATTATTTCATCTATATATTATAAACATTTTAGCCTAATTTACATTCTTTCATCTGTTCTCTTCCAAATGTCAATAAAAGTTTATACCTTTTAGCAATTACATGTTCATTATTTGTACATAATTCAGTTCCATAATCTTATTGCGTACAAAACCATAAAATCTTCTGTCTACTTTAAATCTTTTTAAAAACTCTGAAAAAGTAAACCATTGATAACACATCCACAGAGCTCCTCCTGGGGATGGAAAGACCCTCCAAATCAGGGGTCGCCAACCTTTTGGACCTCAGGGACCACCAAACTCATAATTTTAAATCCCAGGAACCACTAATATGAATTTTGACTGACGGTGGCTTGCTGACTTGGTGGGAAGGGGGGGGGAGGGAGAGGGAGAGAGAGATCTGATCTAACCTCTCCCTCCCTCTCTTTCACACACAGACACACACACACAAACAAACATACAGGCGTGGGATTCAAAGTTATTAACAACCGGTTCTGTTGGCATGGCCTAATTTGTGGGTGTGGCTTGGTGGTAATGTGACTCGCTGGGCATGGCTTGTATGTAAATATTATAAATATTTATGTAAATATTGAATTTTTTATAAAGAAAAGAGCAACTTTTACCCAAAATCAGGCAAAGCAGGCAGGCAGATTGAGTTGATCACAGAGATCTATCTATCTGCAATCAGCTGTCACATAAAATTTGCTTGCAAGCAAACCCATAAAATTTGCTAGCAAGCAAACTCACAAAGCATCATGTATGTAAATATTCAATTTTTTATTAAAAAAAAAGAACTTTTACCCAAAATCAGGCAAAGCAGGTAGGCAGATTGAGTTGCTCACAGAATTACAGATTCATTCAGAGATCTATCTATCTGCCATCGGCTACCTGAGTCTGCACTGAATAATAGAAACTTCAGTCCTAAGGAAGGTTCGGCTCTGCTTAAAAGTAGAGCTGAAGATCTAAAGATTAGCTAGAAAGCAAGAAACCCAACAGTTTCCTGCTTTCTAGCTAATCTAAATCTCCCAGCACAGCAAAACCACTGATGGTCGGGAAAAAAAAGGAAAAATAGCAACTTAACAGGCAAGTTTGCCAGGTAAGGAGTGAGTGGGCGGGGAGGGTTCCCGTAGGCCATGTGGGCAGCGCTGCCTTGTATTCCCGGGAAGCCTGGATTAATTGCTTTGGGGGGTGCTCTGGGGGTGACATTTCTCTGCGGACCACCAAAATTTTCTCGCGACTCATCAGTTGGTGACCACTGCTCCAGATCATATGCAGAGGACAGGGGAAAATGCTGGACAAAAAAAACCTGTCAATCATTTAGTTCATTCATTCATTTTGTTACCTTTGTGCCAAAGCAAACACTGATCACATACAATATATAATTTTCATTCAGTGTTATTTCTTTTCTTTCTTTTTCTTTTTTTTGAAGTTATGGGACTTTTTTATTCTTGAAAATTAGTCTGTGGCATTGGCAAGCCAGGAAAACATTAAGCCCTTTTCTAGATAATTTTTACCTACCATACTTCTATTTCTAATCACTCCCTTAAACTGGTTTTGAATGAAGTTGGGTAAATTTTGTTGAAGAATAAAAACAACTCGAGGTAAAAAAATTAATGGAAAACAAAGAAAAATGTTTTAAACTTCTCCTTCACCCCAGTTGGCACTGATAGTTACAATTTCAGTGCAATGGAACTAGGATATTTTTCCCAATTTATGTACAAATAATCTTCTCTCTCCTTTTTATGCTCTGGAATCAGCTGGATTGATAGTTGAACCAAATCTGATAATAAAATGTAGGGAATAATGTCTGACATATATAGCTCTACCTTGACCTCTGTTCATTGCTCCCTAGCATACTTTATGTGGCCTGACACAATCTTCTATTTATTTCCTATAGGTAAAGTTACCCTTCTTTAATGTCAGCTTTAACATCAAAAGCAACTGCTGAGGCATAGTTAATCATACCATTAGCTAAAATTTAGATTAAAAAACACTGTCACTAAGGAAATAGCATGCTGCATAACTTAAATCTGAGCAAAGGCATATAAAAGCTGATATAAAATACCTTTTAATACACATAGCACTTAACCATGATGACAACTACTCTCAACTGTAGCTTTTTCAATGGATGAAAAAATAGCTGTACCTTGATGGTTTGATAACAGGCAAAATAGAAAAGTAGAAGATTTTCTCCTAGGTGTGGGGAAAGCATACTGTCTCTTTTTATTACCATGATTATCTCGAATTCCTTTGAAAACCTAAGCATGGTTGGACCTGGGAAATAATTGAATGGGAGATAACATTTCATTTTTTGTAAAGGAAAGCATTTGTATATGTGCCTCCATGTTCTAAATAATTTACCTGAAAAACAGTTACTACTGCACTTGACTAGATGTTTTCAGGAGTGAAAGCATCAATAGTTCCTTTGTTCCTTTGGTTGTCATTCTAGAAATTTATTTTGAGTTCTACAAAATCACCATCAAACTTGTTTGATAAGAAATAATGAAAATGCACACTTCTGATATGATTTCAAGATGTTGTTTTTTTTAATGTAGGAAACTGTTTACTCAGTGGAATTATAAGAATACAGCCTCTGAAAACATGTTGCGGTCCTTTAAGAGTTGGATTGTCAAGGAAAGCTAAACTCAAGCAGCTTCATCCGTATTTAAAATAGTTCACTATTAACAACTTGTTAAGCAAAGATTGTTTTGCATTAAATGTTTAAAATAGTTATCACATTCATAATTAAAATATTTCATTATTATTGTAATATATAAAGCACTAGCCTATAAATTTACTGTGATTTTAAAATTAACTGCTAATAAAGGTATTCTGTGAAATGTAGGTACAACACTGTTATATGTTATTAAACTGAAATGCATAGAAATCAGATACATAAATATGCTTAAGTTATTTCCTTTTATTAAAGTATCTTATCAAAGCGTAAAATAGATGTAGTGTCATATCATATAGCAATTTAATAAATACCTATCAATAGTCAAGTTGTATATTCATCTGAAACCATTATGGAATCTTCTGAGCCATGTTTATTTAATGGTACTTTTTATTATAATAATCTTAAGATTAAAATGGTTTTTCCTCCATGGATATTTCAGTTAAATATTTAGTCTCTTGTACAAGTGCTTATAAAATGATCCATGTATCTGTACCTAGTATACAGAGCTAACACATTGCTGAGAAGAGAGGAAGAAGTGTGCATTCATTCTCCACTTCTTTCTTAAGGAACTTCTATCAAAGTTAATGGGATGTCTAACTATTTATAAAACAGTGTTCTAGGCCGTCTATCTTATTTTATCATGCTGTAAGTCCAAAGTCTTAGACATGGATGGTTTTTATCCATTTTATCCTCTGACAAATTGCTTATGTAATTTTTGAAATGTTTCTCTGCCAAACTTGAATTAATGTTAATATATTGCTAATAAAGTTACACACACACACACACTATTAGAACTAATTGATAAAGCTCTTCAGGTTGGGTGAAATCTTATTCTGGCATTTATTAACTAAAAGCAAGAATCCATTTTAGCTATGTTTTTCAACCATTCCCTCATAAGAATTAAAACGTTTCTATGTTCAACTTTACTGTGCTTTACTGTAATTTTTTATTATTTACTTTGGTATATTAAGGACCACATGTTTAGTGAAGAACACAAGAACTCAATCAAAAAAGAAGAACCAACCTCTTCCCTGGTCCAACACCTCAAAGCCACAGGACATGAGATTGACTTTAAAAATACCAGAACTATCGCCAAAACTGAACACTTCAACAACAGAATAATCAGAGAAGCCATAGAGATAGAAAAACGCCCACACAGCATGAATAAACGAGATGATACCTCCCGCCTACCAGCCATTTGGAAACCTGCCCTCATTAACAAACGTGTACCTAACATGAAGAATGACACCAGACCCACACCCACGAGGGCCACACAAGATGCTACCACCACACTTCCATGTAGAAAGCAGACTCACACTCACACAGATGATGAGACATGACCACGGACCAGAAGCCGTACCGCAGCTGCATCACTACCCACTTCAAACCCCTCCGACCCATACATGAAACGAACGGACGCCCACCATGAAGATGTGGCACGACCATGAACACAAAGCCAAACAACAGGATCACAGTTCACCAGCTCAAATCCCCCGGCAACTAAGACTAACCTGAGCACAACCAAGCCCCCACCTGAACAGAACACACCCCCAGCCAATCAGAACACAGCCAACCCCCCAACCAATCAGAACACAGCCAAACCCCCAACCAATGAGAACACACCCCCACCCTATCAGAACACAGCCAACCCCCACCCAATCAAATCACACCCCCACTAGCAGTTAAAAGGAAGAAGCAGCTGCAAGCTCACATTACTCTGAGAAGCACAAAGCCGAAGACACAAGCCTGAAGTTGACGAATGAGACTTCATCAAAACGGCAAGATACTTCCAATTTTACGCGGGAAAAAATCCGAATAACCAAAGATCCACATACAAATACCCGCGAAAACCTCAGAAAACAAGTGTGTGTGTGTGTGTGTGTGTATGTATATGTGTGTGTGTGTGTGTGTGTGTGTGTATATATATGGTATTCAGCTTTGTTCGGGTATTTTCCCACGTCATTATAGTTGTGCTTTTAAAGTTGTAGCAACATTTCGGCAGAATCTCATCTGTCATCATCAGGCTTCAGACGAACACAATACAGAAAATACCCGAACAAAGTTGAATACCATACATGTAAGTACCCGCGAAAACTTCAGAAAATATCTATATATCTATATCTATATCTATATATCTATATCTATCTATCATCTATCTATCTATCTATCTATCTATCTATCTATCTATCTATCTATCTATCTATCTATCTATCTATATCTATATCTATATCTATATCTATATCTATCTATCTATCTATCTATCTATCTATCTATCTATCTATCTAT